CGGTGTTTGCAAGCAGAGACGATCAAACAGGTGAACACTACATAGGTGTGAAATGGTTTTTCTTCATTAATTGCATCAGCCGAGATTCAGAGCAGAAAATCGGATTAAAAGAGGCAACCATCTCTTTAATCTCACGACCCAAATCGATTTTTTGTGGCTTAAAACACTGATGAAAATGGATTTACTTAAGATGGTGTTTTAAATGCATCATTTCTAACAATCAGTTCAACCATTGCATCCACCTGTTTTTGTTGTTTTTTTGGGGGGGGGGGATAAAGTAGCGTCCGAGCGCGTATCGTCGAGGCATTGGAGGCACTGGTTAGTATAATCTGTGAACATGCTGAAATATGCTTTTAGATCTTGGGCATGGAAGAGGGCTCCCTGGAAAAGTTTGAAAGGAACCTATAGCCTCACGTAACATTGTTTCTGTACATGTGTCGAGTACCTTATAAAAATGACGAAGGAACGTATTAATTAATTTTAAAATTTACAGTAAAGACAAATTGATTGATACAACCCATTCGTATGTTTTACCATATATGTAATTCTAATTGCTTTATTGTTTAGTGATAAAATAATTGAAAAAAATGAATTTTTAACTTCATTGTAAAAGTCAATACTTCTTGTTCTGTAGTCGACTAGCTATTTCTAATTAAGTTTTTTGTTTATTTATAAATGACTACTACTTTTATTTGCAGAAAATTGGATTTTATCATTAAAATGCACATTTAGAATTTAATTTATATTTTTGAGTACTTAAATTGCGCTTTTGAAACTATTTTACTTGAATTATATTTGTAATTTGCGCGAACAGAGTCAAGGAGTTAAGTTGGTATGTGATATATTACACACACACACACACACACACACACACACACACACACACACGCGCGCGCGTATATATCCATGGTGCTCAGGGAGGAAACGTCAACATTTCATAACCAAGCTCTTAAAACAATTTAGGCATATTTTGTCTAATAAAATCCGTGGATATTCCGAATGGCAGAGCCGCAACAAGTATTCAAAAGTTCATTTGAAAAAATTACTTTCTACGCAAAAATTTGCATTTCAGAAACATAAAAACACTTCAAAAACATGTAAATAGTTTCCTATTTACAAAAGTAATGAATATATTTGTTCGTAAAGAAATTAAAACAAATAAAAAAGCACCCAATTTACACAATTCGACTATTTTATTTCAATGTTCATTCTCCTTTCTGAGCAAATATATTCATTTCGTTTGAAAATAATAAACAATGTACATGTTTCTGAAGTGTGTACACGTTTCTTCAATACAATGTTATTCAAAACAACTTTTAAGTGCTTATTGAGGTTCAGCCATTCGGAATACCCAAGGAATTTATTAGACAAAATATGCTTAAAATTGTCATATGAGCTTATTTTCGAAGTTTCGACATTTCTTCCCTGGGCATCCTGTATATATTGTTCTGACATTAGTAATTTCCAAATATTTTAGATACCTATGTGTTTAGAAGATAAAAACCTAATTAATTTTGAGTACGTATTTAAATGCTTAATTTAAGGCATTTTTCCAAACCCCGAACGTGGGTTATTTGCTTCGTATGTATATATTATATATTACACACGCTTTGCGAACAGAAGAACGCGTGCGATTTTTGCAGGTCGGTTTGCTCTGACGCGCTGGAACAGCTCATGACGAACCCGAATGCGTCAGGGAGGAAGCGGAAATGAATCACTCCGTACGCGATTCTCCCCGGCGCAGCGCGGTGGAGGAAAAGGGCCCGACCTGCGTCGGTGCCCGAGCTGCTGTCCTGTAACCAAGGGTCTTACGAGTACTTGGGGTAAAGCAAATAGGACATGAACTCACGAACTAGAGCACATGCGTATTTGTTCTTTCGTTATAATTATTATGAAACTACTTTTTAATATATTTTGTACGAACTGGCTTTAATTCCTTCGGGAATATTAAAATTTTAAGAACAAATAAATCTTGATCTATTGTTTACGTTCGTCTGCTCCTCTCTCTCTCTACACAGTGAGGAGGTATGGTTTTATTATGACAACTTTTCCAGATATAGGAATTATTCTTTTTTTTAAATTTTTTTATTAAGTTTTACAATTTAAGACGTATGCTTAATTAAATATGTTTTGGTACATTCTCTCTCATCTATTTTATATTTTGTGCTTAGTATATATTGTTTCATTATCGGTCACTCATATTGTTTCATATGCTCATTTTTTATTGATTTTCATTCTGTTTCTATGTTCTTTATTTTGGAAGTTTTAATCAATAAACTTTGTCGTTTGTACTTTTAAATGAAAACATTTCTAATTCCCTTTGCTTTAAAAATTGCTCGAACAGCATTCATAATTTTCTCGTTAAAAAAGTATGTTCATACTTAAAAAGTACTGAAGTCGAAATACAGGGTCTAAAACACATTTCCATGCGTTATAAAACATTATGCATAGAAATGTACATTTAATGACGCCTGCATCGATGTACTAATTACAAAATTATTATACATTTTAAGAGGTATGTTCAAAATGACTCGTGTAAAAAAGACAGTTTTAGGCGTGAAGGTGAAATGGTAGGCCATATCTCATCAATGATAAAACAAGCAACTTTGTGACCCATTTTCTCAGGAACTACAGAATACATGTTAGCGGATTTTCTACTACTTATGAAGTGATGCTTGAAGAGATTACTGACCCTCAATTAAAGTTTTATCTCTATTCTGAAGCTGTTTATAATTTTCTTGTCCAAAAAATTTCTAACGCACGGACTATAGTCATGATTGAGTATCCAGGTTCTTAGTACAACATAGTTTATCATCACCAAGAATTTCATGCAGATATCTTGAATAGTTTTCGAGATAATGGTGCAAACGTGACACTCAAAGTGGTGCAAACGGTGAAAATGACACTCAAAAGTTTTCAGAATTGCATATGTTAGGGAACTTAGTATTTTTTCCCCAGAGTAACTAAAGGCAACCAACATCGTAATAAAAGGTTTCACCATCTTTTAGACCAGCCTGGGTTTTCTTTTATTATTTCTTACCTCCTTAGACATTTGTATTATATTCTGCCTTTGCTATGCCTAAGCTGTCAATTTTTCAACAAATACGAGCATGGTTTTTCCAGTTATGTCTTCTCTTAGTATTCACATAATGCTCAACTTCTGTATTTACACTACGTTTCTTCTCTTCAGGAGAAGTTTCACATGCATTCCGACTCATATTATCACCACTTTCTCGATGGGAAGGATTTGATTTGACATGCTGATTTTATTGTAAAATGCGTCTTTTGAAGATTCCTTCACATTTCGCCACTATACTACATATAAAACCATTCTTTTAATTTTGTAGAGTATAACACACTGTAATTGATAACTAATTGAACTTTACTAAACAACAAACATTACCTCGCGCATCTATACGTTCGAAGCAATTGTTTACAAAACATTAACATTAATGCATGCATTAACAAAAATTGGACTATCGCAGTCAGTTTTATCAGCACCTGCAGATAAAATTCCTTTACAAAAGAAAACGAAAACTAGCTTTTTCTGACAAAATTACAACCAGAGATAAAAAACGTTGTATGAGAGGAAGTTGAGTTATATTCCACTCTGACAGCTAACACTGGAATATTTAAAAATAAATTTAATACACTTATCGATGGAATCTTACCTACAAATGTTTTAAATAAACATTATTTAACAATGCAAAAAAACAAACTTCTATTTAAAAAATAGTCCTAGTGTCTCAGCTTAAAACGGATTCCAAAAAATCTTTAAAATATAATCTTATTAAAACAACAGAGATTGGATTCTTCAGAAAATCGAAACACTGAATGGTTTGATATAGATCGTTTTACGATTCAAATTGTGGAGGTACTTTTCAATTTTCTATTAGATTTCAAGAAAAATGTTTGTACTAAAGCTTATCCGACCACACTGCCTATCAAAATGCTATCATTATTTTCACGTCCATAATCTGTCCTTTTCAATATAAAGAAACAGATCCTAGTGATCTCAAGCTTACGCTAAGATTACTTCAGACGAAGGGGAAAAAGTACGAAGCCTCGATTTCGTCGGTTGTCGATGCGCGAGTTGGAAAAGGGGAAGCTCAGCGCTTCGCCGCGCCGAGCAGCGCCGCTCCCGATCGCCTCCGCCCAAGACCTCTCGCGCCGTCGCCGTAAGATGCGAAGGCGGGAGGCGCGGCCCTCGCCTAGTAAGGCAATGGAAAGCTCGCGACGGCTACGGCATCAGGCTGGACCGGCGCAACAAGGAAACGCCTATCCGTGGCGGAGGGAATGTCCCGTACCCCGGGCATACCCAAACAACGAACACGCCTCCCCAGCCTCACACGTCAATACACAAAGAACGCAATTGCCCAGCCGTGAACCACTACGCTGGCCGCGGCGAAGTGTCCGGCGAAGACAGCGAGAGGCGGCGGCGACGGCCTGACGCCAAGGGGCAAATAGCCAAACGTGTCACGCTTCGCGCTCGGCCATTTTACGGGCTGAATCAGCGGCCGAGTTCTGCCACGGAGCCGCCGCGAGATAAATTTAGCCCCGGCAGCCGAGGGATTCTTACGAGATCCCGCCACGGGAGACCAAAACAACGCTTTTTATATCGTGCTATCCACGCAACGCGCCCCCTCGCAACTCCTCCCGCTCGAGGCTGACCCAAACAGCGCGGGGGCGTGTTCGCAGACAGCCGCCGACGCGGGCGGCGGCACGGTCCACAACGCCCGCCGACGCCTGGCGCCCAATGGCTTCAAAATTCCTACTTGACAAGTTTATTAGAACAATTCGGAGCTTACAAGGAGTTGTGTAAACCAAATGTCATTTCTCCAACATTTAGAAATCCCTTTATTGGATCGGAGTATTATTCACACATTTCATCTCTCAAACTGACATTCACCACAACAATCCAAATGCCCAACGCATTCAAGTAATTCATGACAAATAATAAAAAGGCAATAATTTTTAACACTAAATGACATTATACTAACCTGTATGAACTGAATGGTAATTGCGGATTTGCCCACTCCGCCTCCACCAACAACTACTAGTTTGTATGTTTGCGAATAACTCTGACGATCAGATGGCCGCGACATTTTTAACGCTTCAAAACTTAGATTCACAGATGAAACACAACGTCACGTGAGATGACTATGATGAACACACATCTACGCACAGCAGAGACCAGTTGTTCACAACCACTCCTCTTTACACACTAATATGGCTCCTCGGTGTTATGGAAGCCATCATCCATCGATCTTAGGCCAAAGATAACTAACTAGGAAAGATGTTCTACTTAGTGTTCACAGGTCTTGGGTAGTGCCAACTTCAAACAAAAAAAATATTATGAAAATACGTTAAAATTTCGTACATAAATTTTATTATTTTAGGAAAATAAGTTTTTATCTGAATTTTCCAACTTTTAGGATAACATTCTAGGAATAGTTAACTTTCTTGCATAAGAGATAAAGAAATTAACTGATGCCAACTTTCAATATTTTCTTCTTTTACCGCTAGGTGTCTCTGAGAGTAATATATCGACAGTACAAGTCGACCAGAGCGGGCCGGTCGATGGTTCTAATGACTCACTCGCCCACTCGCGACAGACGACGACAGCTGCTGGCTGGAAAGAGTGTGCTGAACGTTCTGTCCTATCTGGTTGACAGAGGTAACAATATTTGATTATCCTAAAAGTTTCTAAAATGTGTCGTGTCAGTACTAATATTGTTGTGTTAGTGAAGTTGATTTTCCATGTTTTGTGGCGCAAAAGTAAAACGTGGCATCGTAAGGCTCATATCGTTGAATTGCTGACCGGTAAAGAACTCTGCCATTGCCTATTTTTATTTCACTGCTTTTACTTTTTGTGCAATGGCTTATATTAGTTTCAATGTTAAATATTTAATGTTAGTGCTGAGTAGTATATGTGTAATTCTGAAAATATCACTTGCACTAATGTGGCTTAATTTGCACTAACATTGTATTTAGTTTAGTACAGAATTGTGTGCATGCCTTTTTGCAGAGTTTCCTGGTCGATTCAATGGCAGAAAGGAAGGAGCCAAAATTTGCGTGAGTGGGACTCCCAACATATTATATAAATATTTGGATTCTCATATTTTTACAAGCTGACCCAAATTGGCTGCATTGTTTTGTTATTTCAAATCACGGTTTGATACCGGTGTATAAATAATTACACAATTTCATGGGTGGACACTCGATTGATACGATCTTAAAAGCATGTTGGCAAGTGTCCATACAGATGCGGCAAATCTTGTTCTTTGCTATTTCGACATGTTCACAGCTGCAACTCAGGACCAAGGTTACAAATTTGATGATAAATAGATAGTAAAGATGAATGATAAGTGGCAGTAAAAATATGTCAACATGGCAGGGTGTTATCAGGCATAATCTTATTTAAGTATAAGTTGATTAGAACCCGCATGTACAGTAGAAATGTTGTGGAGTTGTCGCACAAACATTTCATTAGACGTCATTGCTTAACTGGCTCACAATGTCACCAAGTGCGTGAGGAAGAGATGCTTGTTGATAGGCTGTCGTATTAAGTTGTCCGAAACTTCGGCGCCAATGCGATTTTGCCCGCAGGCTCGTGCCCAAAATCGTCAACGGAGGAATCGCCGGAATCATCGGCGTTTCTGTAGTATTTCCTCTGGATTTGGTGAAAACACGTCTTCAGAATCAGCAGATCGGACCTCATGGCGAACGCCAGTACACATCAATGTAAGTATGACATTCGTTTAAGTTTTAAAACATTTGTTGTAAAATAACACTTTCAGTATTCGGAGACTATTATATTGGAAAGTTTACTTACAGACCAAGATTTGCATACATATGTGATTTTGTTCCTTTCAAGTACGCTCGCGATTGTGTATCGAGCTCGCGAGCGGTGTGTATTTCTTACCGCAAATTGGAAATGTTACCGCTAAAAACAAATGCAATATTGAAAATATAATAAATTAAATATTTTGACAAGGATTTATGTTTGAAAAGCGTTGCCTCAAAAGGGAAGTGACACATCTAAAAAAATATAATTTTTTACTGAAAATGTTATTTTTTCTTTGTTGTTGTTTTTTTTCTCTTTCTTTCTCTTAAATAACAATTAAGAAAACTATCTATTAGTACTAGCAAAAATTTCATGAAGATGGATCAAATGAGAGCCTATAAACAGAATACACTCTATTGACAAACGACACTTTCTTCAGACAATAAATTCATGGTAATGCAAAGAATAATGCCATTCTCTTTCAAAATGACAAACCTGGATATGTCATTGCAATATTTGCATTGATTGATAGCAAAAATATATTAACTGGAGCATCAAAACATAATTAGGAAGTAATGTTGTATTAAATTATCTATTAAATACAATGATAATGCCTTTTAACTTTGATAAACGTTTGTATTTGTGTACTCGTAAAGATTATATTATTTCATCAGCTTTTAGATATTTCAATTTCTGTAAACCCAAAGAGTGAGGGGATCTAATTTAGTTTTAGCAGTGTTCTTGATATTGCTCTTAACCCAGAATTTATCCATCAAATTATTAATTTTAAAGTTGTTTCATTTTGAATTGTATAATTATTTAGTAAGTGTGAAGCATTTCTGGATTGAAGAAGTTAGCTAAAGGATAAAAGTGACATGATCATTTTTACGTTTTGCTTCATGACATTATTTACATATTTCACATATAAGGGAAGGAGATATTATGCTAACTTCATGCTTTCCTATCTCATAACAGCCCACGTCCAAAGGGAGATATTAAGAAATTCCCCCCTCTCCTCTCCCTCAATCGAAAGGATTCAGTTCTTCAGAAGTTAGATGAGATTTGCAACATTCCAAACATTTTTAATTTGAAAATAGAAAAAAATAAAATATTGTGTGATAAGTGACAATATCAATAATATTAAATTAGTGGAAATGAAATGGAGCTTGCTTAATATTTTGCACTATTTATACTCCCCACCTCCCTTTTAACTTCTCATATAGCAGTGATTCTTTTCATGCATTAAATACAATAATGATGATAATAAAATTCATACTAAAATAGTTGAGCTACTCAGACATAAAGACAGATTGCAAAACTCAATTACACTTAAAAACAAACAAACATAAACTAAATACCCTTCTTGTCATGTCGTCTTTCAAAAACTACTCATAAGCACAATTTTGGTTTTGTGTAGCAATTGTGGTCCAAGTTACAAACTTTATAGAAAACTTTTCAGACCATCAACCTTTAGTTCTGTAAAGAAGACTTAAAATTACATTTGCAAAGGAGTGGAGTTAACTAATTAGTTGGAGCTTAGAGCACAATTAATTAAAGACATTTAAATGACCCTTATAGTTTTAGTTGCATGTCTAGAGTGTGGGAGCTGATTCAACTACAATTAATTATGTGACTAGTGGAAATAATCTCCCATTGTTCAGACATTCTTGATAGCTTATTAGCCTGAAACAGATGATTCTATCTGCTGTGTAAAACAGAAGTCCTTGTATTTACAACCCAGAAACACCTGATCCTGCACCATCCTATTGTGCTCCACTCCGCCCCACTTGCTGTACAGTAGCATATAGTAAAGATAACATAAAACAAAAACACATGTGCGTTGTACACAACTTATTTACGAGGTATGTTCAAAAAGGAACGGAAATTTTTATTTTTATGATTCATTCGTCAACATCAATTATCACCGTCAAAGTAGTCACCACTACATATTATACACTTATTCCAGTGCTTCTTCCATCCCCTGAAAGTGTTCTGGAACTCCATCTTTGGGATAGCATGTAGCTCTTTCAGCAAAGCGCCTTTAATCTCATCTGTGCTTGAAAACAGACGGCCCTTTAAGGTTATTTTTAATTTGCGGAAAAGTCAAGTCACAGGGGGCCATATCTGTCGAATATGGAGGCTGTGGCATCATTACTGTGTTGTTTCTCGCCAAACATTGACGTACGAACAATGACGTGGGAGCAGGTGCATTATTGTGATGCAGAAGCCATGATTGGTTTTGCCATAAATCCGGGCGTATTTTTCGGCTTGCTTCCCGCAAACGGCGTTGAACGTGTAGTTAGTACTCTTTATTAATCGTTTGACCTTTTGGCAAGAACTCATAATGCACTATGCCTTTAAAATCGACGAAAACTGAGCATAACCTTCACGTTCGACCGCACCTGCCGAGCTTTTTTCGGTCTTGGCGATCCAGGATGCCTCCACTGGGACGACTGAACCTTAGTTCGGATGTCATTCCCGTACACCTATGTTTCGTCACCTGTTATGACACGTTTTAGTAGTTTGCATCGTTGTTGACTTCTTTTGGACACTCCTGAGCAACTTCCATTCGCCGCTGTTTTTGTTCGAAATTCAACACCTTTGGCACAAATTTTGCTGTCACACGTTCCTAACCCTAAACATCCAAAAATATTTCATGACATGAGCCAATTGATATGCCAACATCTTCAGCAACTTCCCTGACTGTAGTTTGGCGATCTTTCATAATTATTTCTTGCATCTTTTCCACATTTTCAGCTGATGTTGATGTGCTGGGGCTTGTCGTCTTCCACGTCTTCACGGCCATCTTGGGACCGCTTGTACCACTCATAAACCCTTGTTTTGCTCATAGCAGTCTCACCAAATGCAATTTTCAACATTTCTAGAACTTTGTGACATTTTATTCCGTTTAATAGCAAAACTAATGCAAATTTTCTCATCTATTTTTTTCAACTAACCAAAAATTGCCACTCATAAGCCACCACACGCAATCTTCTTCGCAACTAACAACAGACTAATCATCCAACTATGGAACCAGTGTACACATGCATTTCAGACATGTTCACCAACACAATAAAAAAACAATCGCGCGAATCAGACTAATATCACCTGTGCAATAACGAAATTCCAGTTTCTTTTCGAACACACTTCGTAAATTACAACCGTATGTGGTTCTGACACAAGTACAGAAGCATGCGTACCACAAGAGGACTTTCTGGTTGGTATTGCCGGGAATATAAAAAAATACGGCTACTACTTCATCTCATCTACAAACTAGTAATGCTAAAACAGCACGTACTTTGAAAAGAATGCATTGAATTGATGCCTTATTTTACGTGGCGAGACTCGAGCCATTAGGCCGTCTGACCACGCAAATTTCGCTACGCTCCTTTTTCCAACTAGGGGAGAAAGGAGGTATTCTTGAGTGACGAATAGGCGATTTGAATGTAGCTCAGAGGCGTCATTTTGGCTTGAGGATCATTTATATGAAAGTAAATCT